CAGGGGATCTCGTAGTCGAGCAGTCTCGACTAGAGCTTTCTTACTTGTTTATATACAGAATTTCAAGAGATTCAAAGGAATTTCGGACTTCTCACTTTAGATGGTGTTTTAGTAATTAATACGTGATTAATTTCCATATGAAAACTCACCTGGAATCTTCGCATGTCCCGTGGGTTGCCAGCATTCTTGAGACAGTTCTGGTTGCACTTCAAGAAGAACTTCAGGAAAAAGCTGCAAAAATAAATGAAAAGAGTTCGAAATGAATACCCATTAGCAATGGAATCATTGAAGGCAGACTGTGGGGGATAAGGAACAGCTTCGGTTACTGATTGAGTCAGAACTCTTTGTAAGCTGCTAATGATCGGTTGCGCCTTTCGCAGTTGCCACTTGCCACTTGCCACGTTTTGTGGCAGATGTGCTGCCTCGGGCTTGAGTCAATCCACTTGCCTGCCCAAAGTTGAGCTGCTCTGCCTGCGGCGTGACAGCGCGGCGTGCGATAAACGTGCACTTCGAGGGTGACAGTTATGTGAATGGGATGTCCTGCAGGCAGGATATGCGAGAAATTGACACCCGTGTGTCGCGCATTTAAATGGTAAAATACATATATACATACAGCAACAGCCCACGGCCTGTCGTCTACCTCTCTCCCTCCCTCCCTCTGGCCCCCTTGCCGACGCTCGCTGATTTTATTTGCCGAAATAATATTTTGTTGCTACTGACGCTGCGGGGGTTCCCCTACACTCGATTGGCTGGCATTTTCGCAGCTTTCCATTTTTTCTCCACACTTTTTTCTCTCGCTGCTCTTTGTTGTTTTTCACTCGACAAATTGGACAAATTAGCTGAAGAGGGCGTTGCATGCTGCTTGCCCCGCGCGCGGAAGGTGCGGGCACAGCTCGAAAACATCTGCATATGTGTCATAAATGAGTAAATGTTTGTTGTTATTGTTGTTGTGTACCCTAAGAGGATATCCTAAATTTGTCCCCGATGTGCTGAAAGATATTCCAGCTGAGCCCAACTAGGCTGCCTCGATGTGAGTGGGAATTCGAACATGATGCCCAATATGGTTTTACTGTAGATCATGAGAGTTAAGTTCATCTAAAATTTTGTTGAATATTTTTCAGATATCTTGAAATTTGCCAGGCATGTTGTTGATGTGTAAGCAAAGTGTTTTACAGACAGACGGACAGCCAGTCGGACATTACCCAGATCCCCTTTTCACTTCATGAAAGCATTACGTAAATGCATGAATATTTTCTTGAGCTTAGGTTTATCGCAAATGATTTTGAATGAAAATTGATTTATGAAAAATAATTTTAATTGTTGAAAAAATAAAATTAATAAATTTTAAGCGCAAAACAACTATTGCAACAGCAATTAAGGCGACATTTTCATTCAATTTGTATTCGATAAAAAATCACGAAAATAAAGAGAAGGCAGAGAAAAACACACACGAGCCGCATGCCACACATGCCCCGAAAGAACATTTTGGCTTATCGCAGAGTTTGAGTGCGGCGAGCGTTAGGCAAAAATTAATTATGAGCTCGGACACATTTTGGACTATGAGTAATGTATATACATACATATGTATATATATATACGATTTATAGAAATTGGTGCTATATGGCCACGCGAGCTGATTGTGAACTTGTTGAAGTCGTGTGTGTGAGGGAAGGGAATGAAAACAGATGTGTTTATGTGTGCAATGCATACATCTTTGCTTTTTTTTTTTGTTCTTTTCATTTTATACACAGTGCCAACAACAACAACAACAACAAGAACAGCAAACAACATGAGCAGCATCATTAACAAGGCCATCGGCAATCCCCTAGGAACTGAGCGCCGTGTCGTATCTGTCAGATGCAATATCGAATTACACAGCAAGAGACAGAGCGAGAGAGAGAGAGAGAGAGGGATAGAGAGAGGGAGCGCATGAGACCTTCCACAGATGCAACTTTGTAATTTGAATACGTATCGAGTGGATATTGAGAGCTGCATAGGTTAACTCATTTATGGATCATGAGCTGCGCTCATTGCTGTTGCTGTTGTTGTTGTCTTTGACTAGCATCCAGCCCTCGCATTGTCAGCATTGCGCATCTTTATGGGCAGCTAATTGACTTTCTCGGAAGCAGCGAGCGAGGAGAGGACGGCGCATCGCACGCTTGAATTACAATGTTGTCAAATATACTGACAGGACGCATAAATTGTGAGAGCTAAAAATCGTGGCGTCCCATTTGCATATGCCTAGCGCAGAGCGAAGGATGCGAAGGACTGTGAGAATCCCAGCGCTGATTCAATTGAAGCCGTATCTGGATTTCGGACCACGCAGCGTCGCAAACTTTATGTCGTCCTGGACAATTAAAAATTCAGCTCGCGTCCTGCCAATAAATCAAAGTGTCTCTCCATCTTTGTCCTGGCCGCCGCCAACAAAGTATCCTGTCGTCCACCTGGCGTCGCCGTGGCTTGCCAGCGACGCGAAATTTTCATTTAATGAAAAGCTACGCATCATCAAACGCCCGCACATGACATTGGCCGGGCCAACGCCAAAATGGCCAAAACGAACAAAATGGCCATGAATCGACTCCATTGGCAGCTAGAGCACGTAGAGCCAACGAAGTGCATAATTGGTCATTCATATTTGTTGTTGTTGTTGTTGTTTTTGTTGCTTTTTTCTGTCTATTTCTATCTATTTTTTAGGGCTAAAGCTGTCAATTGCTCGATGTGCTTGAATGCTGCTTAGGATTCTTAAGTAGTTGAAGTTGGAGTTAAAGATGAGGACGATTCTATGATCTTCAAGTGAAGGAGAAGGGCATGGAAATGTACATATATACACATAATATATCAATAGATTATACGGTAGAGTCTCGATCGAAAATCGCGACAAATAAAAAATCAGTTCTATACCCTTGAAAAAAATTCGTTCTCAATAATTCTCAAAAAAAAAATTATCCCCTTGCCATTTCGAATTCTCGAGATTCTACTGTGTTAATTACTTGTAATATATATGTATGTAGACAGATGATAGTTTCACCAGCTGTACGAAGCTAGTAAATGCTTAGTATTTTGACCTATATAATAATGTAAGATTTTACTATAACATAATATTCATTTAAATTTATAGAAAAACAATCGATTGATTATTACTGAAGGATTACGTAGGCTTTAGCTGCGTTTGCATTCGTATAATCTGGGAAAAGGACAAACTAGACGTAGTAACAAAATAAATTTGAATGTATGAATTTATATAATTTAAATTCTATGATTAATTTCATAATATTTTTTGTTTCTTCATTTCTTGTATAAAAAGAAATTCCTTTTGGCTCTCATGACAGATAATATGACAAGTAATAATGATAATTAAACACTGAATGATCGTAATCGTATAACATTCTAAATTCCAGATGCGCAACAATATCTTTTTAACAATAAAACAACAAAATTTCAATGGAATTGCCTTTTGGCATTCGGCTAACAATTGAAATAAATTCGAGTCGGTTGTAAACTTTTGCAGCTTCGAGCGAATTTCGTGCCCACGATTAACTGTGAATTTGTGAATCAACAGCAACAGCAACAACAACAGCGACAACAGTAAAGATAACAACAACAACAACAACAGCAATAACAACATTGAGCTTTATCTTTGCATCGCTTTTCACAACAATTTAATGATGAATACGAAACGTGCATAAATCGTTTTGGGTTCCGGACTTAACATTCGGGCGCTCAAGCATTCGGCGATATTATCTGAGGGCGTCAACAGGATGTAGCCGTAGGCGTTTGTGGCGCACGCCAAACGCTTGAGCCACGGGCACAGGTGAGCCAGCCCCAGCTCACCTGGCTGGCGCTGCGGGCGACTGGGCGCTAATTTTTCACTAACGATAATATTCAAAATTTTCAACTTTATTGCCGCATAAAGTCAATGACACGCACACACACACACACACACAGACGCACAGAGCGACAGAATAAACTTACTTTGGCGCCATTTCCATGGCATTTGCACACACACACCCACACGCACACAAAGGCAAAAGATGGCCGCCGACGTCACCATTTTGCTGCTGTTGTTCAGGTTAAGGTTGAGGTTCAGGGCTGCTGCTGCTGCTGCTGTTGTTGTTCGCTCTATTGTTGTTGGAACTTTTATTTATGCTCTTTCTCAGCTTAGCGCTGCACGCTTCGCGGCGCACGCACAAGACTTCACACACACACCCACACATACATACATATACAGAGCAAGTCGAAAGTCCACAGTTTACGCAAACCCTCAACGGTTACAAAGATTTCCCGTTAGCCGTCTCGATGTCGCGTCGGCACAATCCTTATCAGAATCGCACTTGCGACTTGCGAACGTCTTCGCCTTGTTGAGAGCTCATAGCTTTTGGGATTCTTTGTATTTCAATAGACTTTGAGGGCGGATTTTGTTGTTGTTTGCTTGGGTTTCGTTGCTGTTGTTGTTGTTGTTGTTGTTGTTGTTGTTGTTGTTGTTACGCTTTCGATTTCATTGTGGTTCATCCGGAAGAGAACCACATTAGCATGGAACTTGTTGAAAACACTTTCGCTTAGCCTTCAGCAGCCATATGCCGACAGAGCGAGAGAGAAGAGAGAGAGAGAGAGACAGAGAGAGAGAGAAGAGGCAAAAAGAGCGCGAGCGAGAGCGAAAGTGAATGAGTGAGTGCTTGAGTGAATTTTTGGATATCTTTTGAGTGAAGCTTTCATTGCGTGCGTTCATTTTGGTGAATGAATCTAAACAAGTGCGAAGGGGGCGGCTGCTGCTGCTGCTCTGTGTGCGTGAGTGTGTGTGTGTTGGGGGTTGCTTTGGGACTCGGTGTCATGCCGCTGGGACCAGGGAAATACCTCGTAACTGTTGTTGTTTTTGTTTTTCTGTTGTATTTTTGTTTTTGTTTTCACGGAACGCAGAAGGCAACAACAATGGCAGCTTTTTCTTTTTGTTTGCGATTTCTTCATCTTTAAACTGATTATTTCTGTAAGCACACACATGCAGCATGTGTGTGTGTGGGTGTGTGTGTGACCATAAAAATACCATATCGAGGTTAAATATCAGACATCGATAAAAGCTACAAGCAGACAGAGATACAACAAACAAGAAGCACAAAGAACGAAAGTATCTTAGACAGCCTTACTACAGCTGTAGATGTTCATGTGTGCGTGCGTGTGTCTATGTATCTGTGGGCGCCTTTAACTTTTGCTACTCCTTTTCGGCTTATGCCTGCTAACCTTTGGCGAACTACGGAGCCATCAAATTATCGACCTTATTGAAATGCGCAAATTATGCTAACTACTTTATACCTACACGCAAGTCTGTATATATGTATGTGTGTGTGTGTGTGTGTGTTGACTGCCAGTTAACGCTTTTAATATAATTAATTATGCAGTATGCGTAAATGGCTGAGACGGAAAATGGCTAAGCGGAATCACATATGAGTAGCGCTCCTTCAGCAGCTGCCTAATCAGACCTACATATATCCAAGACGTTTTTCCCCTTATCTGCATCATCTGTAAATTTTAAATAACCTCGCGGTCATCTCAATTATGCACATTATGCAATTTGAAACACACACCACATTGTTAATTCATCATGTGCTCGACGAGGCTGAGAAATCGTATCAATGATATGGGATTAACAGTAAATTTAGGTATTTAAATGATAATCCAAAAGGATATTCATGTAGAATTTGAGTATCAATTGAAATTGTGGAGTGAAAGACAGAAAACTATTTTAAAATAGAGTCTATGATATCTTATCTTGCTATAACGAATGAAAGTCCTAAAAAGGGAATATTCAATATCTATAGCACTACAATAACTTAAAACCCAGGGAAGAAACTATTAACTCAGACATTCTATCAAAGTTCTAATATTGTTTAGGGAAATCAAAAGTATATAAACATAATTCGTTATTTTCCTATAATACTATACTACTATAATAAAAATTCTGCCTAATATTTACAATGTTCAGCCTTTTAAATTCAGCAAATTGAAGCTCACAGCATAAAGTGCTCTGTATTAAACAAAAATAAAAAAAAGAGGAAGAAAACTAGAGAGAGCGAAAAATATTATTCTGCAATTTGAAAATAGATATTTATGATTTAATAAACTGTTCTTTTCCCAGGAGCTAACGATGCGCATCGAATGCCATTTAGAGGATGAGCAACAATTTGCATTAATAATTCAATTTCAATAGACAGGCGAACAAATATGCAAATTGTGCGAGCTCTTTGAAATGCAAAATTCAATTCGAATATTCCAAATTTCTGCGCTTCTCCCATTGATTTATGAGGTGCGAATCAGGTGCAGTCGCAGTCGCAGTCGCAGTCGCAGTCGCCTATCGCCGATGCCAGCCAGCTCAAAGAAATGTGGCTGCATCTGTTGGGACGCGACTGTCTGGCAGCGATAAAGAAGCAAATGTACGAGCTTGGTTATCTTTGGCGATAATTAACTGTTATGGACTCTGCTCAGCTCTGCTCTCCCTTTCTATCTGCTTTCATCTCACACACACACTCTATCTCGCTCTGTCTGCATAATATTTCATATGCCTGTCGATTGCTGACCACAAGTGCCGTTAAATTTGTGTCTGCGTTTTATTCCTTTTCGTTACATTTTTTCTCTTTTTTTTCTGCTGCGTCGCTTTGAATATTTGAGTAGCCTCCCCCAAAGCGTGAACATCGCATGCTTTCTCTCGCTCTTGCTCACTGACTGAGTGGCCACACAACCAGCACAGTCTCGTTCGACTCGTGCCATTTGTCCACCTGGTTGAGTTAGGGCAGCAGTGGATGGGTTTGAATGCATTTAGAAAATTAAAAATTGTAGCCACAAGTAGCAGCAGTTTTGTCATCATTTTTAGCGCGATTATCAAGGCATGCAATGGCCAAAAAAAGGAAAAAAAAACCATTTGCCGCACGCAGCCAATGCTGTGCTTACAGTCGTGGCGCGCAATAATGTGCAAAGCTTGGAACTGAAGTGAGAGATTTATGAATCAAAGAATATATATTGCACATTTGATTCTATAGCTCATATATATAAAAATCATTATTATTTATTATTTTTATTGTTTCAGCTAATATATATTTCTAAATCCATATAGGCTTTCAGTTAAAATGCATTTCTAAATTCAGACTAATTTCAATCCAGCTGAACTCACTTTTTTGTCCGCCACTGTATTGAACTGAACTGTTTGCATATTGGACACCACAAAACGTCAATTCTATTTGTCGCCGTCGTTAGTTGGTTGGCTGGGGAGCCTTGGGGGTTCGAGGGCCTTGGTGGGCGGGGCGCAGTTGCCGGTGAATTTGCACTTAGTTTATTTGTCGCGTCGGGTACAAAATATAGAAAATTGAAATAAAGCGAAGAAACTGCCAATGACATGGATAAATGCAAAAGCGGCAAATTTTCGATTGTTCTGCCTCGTTCTTCCTCTTCTTTTCTCCCTTTTTTTGTCAGCCCTGTTGACCACTCTGGCAAATAACAATTTTCCGCTTTGCCAACAGATGGTTGATGTGGTATTTGTTTGTTTTTGTTTTGGTGCACAATTTACTCAAATTAAAAAGTCGAATCGGGAATTTGACACGCGATAATCGTTGACTGTAGAGGGAGTGAGTGTAGTGTGTGTGAGTGTATGTGAGTGTGTATTAATGTAGTGAGATAAAGCCTAATTACGCATACGCCAGATGGGCCCATGTAATGGGCACATGAAATGAGATTATAGTTGGAGGAAAAAAAAAAACCGAAAACGGAAGACAGAAACAAAGCTCAAGCTCAACAGCAATCAGCGAAAATGTGTGAAAAAAACGTGAAACATGTCGCAGTCGACACAAGCAACAACCACAAAATTGGGCAACCTAACAACAACAACAACAGCAATAACAACAAAAGCAATAACAACAACGAGAGACACAGGAACAGAGAAATGCAGGAGTTCTTTCCACGGTGGCGACAATGCGACCACCGCTGAAGTGCGCTTTAAATTCACTTAATTATGGAACACACACGAAGGGCATACCTAAAAAGCAACAACAACTGCAAAAACATCAACGAAAAACAAAAAGACAAAATGCGTAGCAATCGATCCACACAATGCTGCGAATGTCCTCGCAAATCATAAATAAAAGCTGAACCGAGACGGTTCCTCAAACTTGCGACCGAAGAGCGAACAGCATCAGCTGCGAGGGGAGCGAGAGGAGAGGCAGATGAGAAACCTAAAGCTATAGCTGTAGCTGTAACTGCAGACTGTGCCCTCACCTGCGCTGGTAATTGCAAATCCTCAGATAACTTTAGGCACTGTGACTAAAATACTGAGAATTTACTTAGGATAGAATAAAAATATTATCAACTAAATTTGTAAAGCCTATACTAAAGATTAAAATTAAATATTTATAATAATGAGATGTAGTTCTTTAAGGCTTTGTTCATATTAATTATCTTATTGCTACAATTATAGTTTATTTAATCCCCATAATAATTATTATCAAGAGTTGTCTGATTTCTGTTCATTATATTAAAACTGATTAAAATTATTACTAATATTATATATTGCATTAAATAGATTTATGTTTTATTCATTCTATTTTAGCTTTGCACCTAAAAGCTTTTCAAAATAATGTTTTTAGGTGCTCAACAATAATAAAAAAATTAAAATTTAAAAAAAATATTAAAACAGAAAATAAATAAAAATAAAATATAAACAAATATAAAAAAAAAATAAAATATATTTATAAAAAAAATAAATAAGAAAAAAAAAATATTTTATTTATAGAAATTGAAATATATAAAATAATTAAGATAAGATTAATTAATAAGAAAAATATATATTTTATTATATTCCCTATACTATATGCATTTTAAACTTAATAAATATAAAACTTAAATAATAAAACTTAAATATTTCCAACTCATAGTATAATGACAAGCAATTTACGATACATAAAATAATTCTTGATTCAAAACTCAATTTCTACATTTACAGTTAGACAGTTGGCAAATATAAATCAAAGTCCGATTGGAGATAAAATTGGAAAACTCTAAGTATTTTCACAGTCATTTCCTAGCGCTTTAAGGAATGCTTTGGAGCAGAGAGGTAAGCAGCAGTCGAATAAATATAATTTAAATATAATTGCATGAAATGGATTTTGAATTGATTGGCTATGTTTTGGGCCCACTGTGCGCTCGTTGCATTGTGTGCACAATTTCGGGATCTGTAAAGCCGCTCGCGCTGCCGGCCAACTGCAGATCGTTGCATGAATAACAGAAATTCATCAATAAAACATGTGGAAACGAAGGCTTTAGTTGTTGCTGCTGCTGCTGTTGTTGTTGTTGTTGTTGTTGGAGTTGGAGTTGCTCCTGTTGCAGCAGCAGCAGCTCTCACGGCACACGTTCGAGCGTCATGAAAGTGGCAGGCAACTGGGCGGCCGATTGGCTACTGCTGCTGCTGTTGTTGCTGCTGCTGCTGCTGTTGTTGTTGCTGTTGTTGCTGCTGCTGTTGTTGTCATATGTATCAAGAGTTTTTGGCTTAGCCAAGCCAAGCCAAGCGCACTTTGAAATGCTGTCGACGGCGATTCAGTCGGAATTTTCAATCAGTTCCAATTGTTGCGCGCCCAGTGACAAGTTTTCAGCCCAGGCACAATATCGTTGCTTGAGTGGCAAAATGTGCACGACCACCAGCCAAGTTAGCGCTTTAGCGTGTGGAGCTCTTGCAACATTTAGTTGCATACACATAGATTATCCAAAAGGCAGAACGAGTTGCGTCTTAGTCGGCCTTAGGCGGCATGAACTACTGGCATATGAATGAGACC